ACGTTCTCGCGTCGGCCGGGGTCGAGTCTCTACACCCTGACCGTTGAGTCTCCTCCTGTCCCTGCGTCTGGTCAGGTGGCTGCGTCAGGTCAGGTGCTTGCTGCTGCGTCCCGGTCAGGTCCTGAGTCTGCCCCTAGTTCTTGTCGCCTCCTGTCTCACAAGACTCTCCTGTGGCACCACCGTCTTGGCCACCCCTCCTTGCCCCGTCTTCGGAGCATGGCTTCCCGTGTCCTTGTCTCTGGTCTTCCCCAGTCTCTCCCTCCTCTCCCCTCCGGACCAGGACCTTCCTGTGTCCCCTGTGTCGAGGGTCGCCTCCGGGCTACTCCTCACTCCTCCCACTTCCCCCCAACAGAGGCTCCCCTGCAGACGCTTCACATGGATGTGTGGGGCCCAGCCCCCGTCCGTGGGCAGGGTCACGAGCGCTACTTCCTGTTGGTGGTTGACGACTACTCGCGTTACCCAACAGAGGCTCCCCTTGCGCAGCAAGGGTGCGGTCACTGAGGTGCTGATCGACTGGATCCGCGAGGCTCGTCTCCAGCTCAGGAAGAGCTTCGGCTCTGACTTCCCTGTACTGCGTCTGCACTCGGACAGAGGCGGAGAGTTCTCTTCTCGCCTTCTGCGAGACTACTGTCGTGCACGGGGGATCCGCCAGACCTTCACGCTTCCGGACTCACCACAGCAAAATGGGATTGCTGAGCGCCGCATTGGCATGGTCATGGATGTCGCTCGTACGTCCATGATGCATGCGGCTGCCCCCCATTTTCTGTGGCCGTTTGCGGTGAGGTACGCGGCGCATCAGATCAACCTTCACCCCCGGGTCTCTCGGCCTGCGATGTCCCCAGCCTTGCTGTGGACGGGGAAGGTTGGCGATGCGTCTGTGTTCCGTGTCTGGGGATCTCGAGCGTTTGTCCGCGACTTGTCTGCGGACAAGCTGTCCCCTCGTGCCGCTCCCTGTGTCTTCCTTGGCTTCCCCACTGACGCCCCAGGGTGGCAGTTTTACCACCCCTCCTCCCGTCGTGTTCTGTCCTCCCAGGACGTCACGTTCGACGAGTCAGTCCCCTTCTACCGTCTCTTCCCCTACCGCACTCCTTCCCTCCCACCTCCCCCGGACTTCCTTGTGCCGGTTCCCCCCCCGGTAGACCCCCTCCCCCCTCAGGTTCCTGCCCCCTCAGGTGTGTCCCAGGTAGACGCCGTTGACCCGGTCGAGGTTACTGGTGACTCTGGTGCTGCTGCGGGTGCTGAGCCTGGGGGTGCTGACTCTGGGGGTGCTGTGCGCGGGGGTGCTGAGCCTGGGGTTGCTACTGCTGGGGGTGCTGGGCCTGAGGGTACTACTGCGGAGGGTGCGGAGCCTGGGGGTGTTGAGCCGGGGGGTGCTGTGCCTGGAGGTGCTGGGTCTGGGGGTGCTGGGTCGGGAGCTGCTGAGCCTGGGGGTGCTGAGCTGGGAGCTGCTGAGCCTGGGGGTGCTACGTCTGGAGCTGTTGAGCCTGGGGTTTCTCCTACTGCTGCGTCTCGCCGGGAGCCCCTCTCTCCACAGGAGCTGCGCGAGTGGTTCGCTCGCCGCTGGAGGCGTGCTGCTGAGTCTGGAGGTGCTGCTGGAGCTGGAGCTGGAGCTTCTTCGACCGTCGAGGGTGCGGGTGCTGCAGGTCCCGGTGCTGCTGGACCTGCGGGTCCTTCTGGAGCCGGAGCTGCTGAGGGCGTTGGTGCTGCGCCTACTGCTGTTGGTCCTGCCGCTGGAGGTGTGGGTGGCGCTGGTGCTGTCGCTGAGGGTGCTGGTGCTGTCCCTGCTGAGTCTGGAGCTGCCGCGCGGCCTCGGCCGTACTTCGTTCCGCTCCTGCAGCAGGTTCTTGGTCTTTCTCCTCCGGTAGAGGGTCCACCGCCTGTCCAATCGCAGTCCCTACTGGAGCCTTCCTCTCCACTGCCTGCTCCCTCTCCTTACACTGGTCCTACTGGAGGTCTTGCTGAGCGCCGTGAGCCTGCGTCTCGTCCCGCGTCGCCTGTTCGTGCTGCTCGCGCTAGTGGTCGCAGTTCGCGTCAGCGTCCTCCTCCTGTCCCTGGCACGCACCGGATGTCTCTGCGTCCGTCCACTGCTCCTCTGCGTGCCCCTTTGCCTTCTCCTCCTGAGTCCTCTCTTCCTGCGCTTGCCGACCCTGAGTCGGACTCTCTTCGTGCTGCCAGTCCTACTGTCACGCGTCTGCTTGCTACTGTCGTTACTGACCCCTCTTTTGAGTCCACTGCTGCGTCTGCTCTAGTCGCTGAGCTCGTCGACTTTGCTGCTCGCTGTCGTCTCGACTACGCTGCTAGTCTTGTTGGTGAGTCTGCGTCTGTCTGTCCTCCGTCCGTCGGGGGTGAGTGTGCTCTTGGCACGGACGTCCTTGAGGACAGGCAGGAGGAGTTACAGTATCTAGCGGCTGCTTCACCTCATCTCGCGTCTGTACTGCTTGCCCCTGAGGGAGACCCGGATGCACTAGACATCCCGACTCCGCGTTCTTACGCGGAGGCCGTAGAGGGTCCCTACTCCTCTCAGTGGCAGGCAGCTATGGATGCAGAGATGGCTTCCTGGAAGTCCACAGGCACCTACGTTGACGCGGTTCCCCCTCCTGGGGCGAACATCGTCAGTGGCATGTGGATCTTCAGGGTGAAGCGGCCGCCGGGCTCTCCACCTGTCTACAAGGCACGGTACGTCGCTCGTGGCTTCAGTCAGCGGCAGGGAGTTGACTACTTTCAGACCTTCTCTCCCACCCCGAAGATGACTACTCTTCGGGTGCTGCTGCACATAGCCGCTCAGCGCGACTACGAGCTTCACTCTCTCGACTTCAGCACTGCGTTCTTGCAGGGTAGCCTGCACGAGGAGATCTGGCTTCGCCGTCCACCTGGCTTCACTGGGACTTTCCCTCCTGGCACCCAGTGGAGCCTCCGACGGCCAGTCTACGGTCTCCGCCAGGCACCGCGTGAGTGGCACGACACACTGAGGACTACGCTTGCGGCCCTTGGGTTTGCTCCTTCTACTGCTGACCCGTCGCTGTTTCTTCGCACCGACACTTCCCTGCCGCCGTTCTACATCCTCGTGTACGTCGACGACTTGGTCTTTGCCACAGCGGACACTGCTGGACTCGCCTACGTGAAGTCCGAGCTACTGAAGAGACACACGTGCACAGACCTGGGTGAACTGCGCAGCTACCTTGGCTTGCAGATCACTCGGGACAGAGCACGCCGCACCATTACCTTGACTCAGTCACACATGGTGCAGCAGGTCCTTCAGCGCTTCGGCTTCACGTACTCCTCGCCTCAGGCCACTCCTCTGCCTACTCGCCACTCACTCTCAGCTCTGCCTTCGGATGAGTCCGTAGAGTCGAGTGGTCCGTATGCAGAGCTTGTTGGCTGCCTCATGTACCTGATGACCTGCACACGACCTGACCTTGCATACCCTCTTAGCATTCTTGCACGCTATGTTGCTCCTGGGAGACACAGACCAGAGCACATGGCTGCAGCGAAGAGGGTATTGCGCTACCTGTGCAGTACGTCAGGCATGGGGCTAGTGCTTGGAGGGCGGAGTCCAGTGGTCCTTACCGGCCACGCGGACGCTTCTTGGGCTGACGACCAGGCTACGCAGCGGTCGTCACAAGGTTACACCTTCAGCCTTGGTTCCGGCTCTGTCTCGTGGCGGTCTACTCGCTCGTCTTTGGTTCTCGGCTCCAGTTGTGAGGCTGAGATCTACGCCGGGGCCATGGCTGCACAGGAGCTTCGCTGGCTCACCTATCTGCTGACTGACCTTGGAGAGCCGCCTCGTTCTCCTCCAGTGCTGTTCGTAGACAACAAGGCCATGCTGGCCTTGTGTCGAGAGCAGCGCTTGGAGCACAGAACGAAACACATTGCTCTCCGCTACTTCCTTGCTCGTGAGCTGCAGCAGCGTGGTCAGTTGCGACTTGCGTACGTGGCCTCTGAGGCCAACACTGCTGATGTGTTCACCAAGGCACTCGCGCCTTGTGACCATCAGCGCTTTTGCACCCAGCTGGGTCTTGTGCCTGTCTTGCCTCACTTGCTCTCCTCTTGACTTCACTTGTACTGTGACATATATATATACCTACTCTTGCTTGTCTAGTTTTATATATATGTCTGTACTCCTGCATGTGAACTGGCCTCTGGCCCTGCTCTTGTGCTCGGACTGTGTGGTGACTTTGTGATCCACCCTGAGCTTGCTTTGCTTTGCTTTGCTTGACTGGTCTTGTGACCCCTTGTTCTCCCCCACTTTGCCTATGGGGGTGTGTCAGATTATTTTAGCTGATGCATGTTTGTAGGCTATAGTGGGGTAGCACATATGGGGTACAGCTTTCTAGGGTTGTATTTGTACCCAACTCTGACTTAGTCATACTCATTCCTGTTCATTCTTTTCACACCCACTACAGGCTACACAAACAACATATTCTGACACATGCAAGTGTACCTGAGGAGCCGGGGTTTCCGCGATATAGACGCACTCGCACACCGGAGGTGGCTTCTTGAGGGGGGGGGGTAGTGCAAGGAATTTTCTTGATATTCCTTAGCGCGCCCTGCAACATCGTGTACAGCAGCAGCCGTTGTTCGCCTGTTGCTACTAACTGTTTCACCAAACCTCGCACTGCTGGCTTGGCCGTGTCGGCCTACGCTCCGGGACTAGCCCGAGCCTCATTGCCGACGTAGCACTAGCTAGCTCGCATGCACCGCGTTACCGTTTGCATGCTTCGCGTATAAATGTTAGCTTATGCCTTCGCTCACCTTTTGTACTCGTTTGACGGCACCTTAGTGCAATTCCTCGCTTCTCAGATCCATTGCACCCGTAACAGGATACGAACATACACCTCCAGAAGTATCTATGGTCTCAAACAATTTGCAGGCGAACACCTTCTCAGAACAAGATAGTACAACAGTGGCAAATCAACTATTGACATACCCAACAGATCTGTAGGGATTTTAGCAAATGGCTATTACCGTACCCATTTTTTGCCAACCTAGGCATCCTTGGATCATGGGTTTTCTGCACACAAAAAAAAAACAGAACGGGAGGATGAAAATGCAAGTGTGTTAAGATGAAACTGCAATATCAGGATGAAGCGTGCGTTTCTCTCAAGTTGTCATATCGGGCATTTTGAGCCAATCATGAATGAACTTGGGGGGCTGGTGTCCAGGGGGGATTGCAGTGAGATTGAGATGAGGTGAGAACAGAGGCAACTCAAGAGTGAGGCAGGGTGAGAGTGGGAGGCGAGCTAATGTTGAGAAGCGAGGCAGGGAGAGGATGGAGACGGGTGGGGGGAAGGACAGAAGGAAGGGTGGGAGGGATGAAGAGGGTGGGAAAAGGTCGATCAAGAGAAGGAAAAGATTGCCGGAGGAATGAGGCATATGCAGGGCACTGCAAAAAAAGGCGATGAGGAAGGAAATGAAGGGGGGCGAGATGGGTTAGCGGAAAATGGAATGAGGAAATTGGGAGGCGAGAAGTACAAATGCAACAACCAAGTACCCACTACCATTGCGAGAATGAGTACACTTACCAGGCAACTGTAACGGAAGCAGAAGAGCGTTTCCATTATCCCTCTCCGTCATTACTACGGGGAGCGGAGGCGGCTTCCGCCTGTTGCTCAACTCCACTCCCCGTGCTCCCTCCCACCCGCCCACTTCCAGGGTCCTTCTTGTCTTCTTCTTGGGCGGCTTGGGCGGCTTGGGGGGCGGGCGCGGAGGTGGGGAAGGCGGGGGGCTTTTGGGCGGGCGTGGGGGAGGTTTGGGGGGAGGGCTTGGGGGAGGGGATGGGGGCGGGCGTGGGGGAGGTCTAGGGGGAGGGCGCGGGGGCGGTGACGGGGGCGGGTTTGGGGGAGGGCGAGGGGGTGGTCTTGGCGGAGGGCTAGGAGGTGGACTCGGTGGGGGCGGGGGACTAGGGGGCGGAGAAGGCGGACGTGGCGGGGATGGTGGCGGGGAAGGGGGAGACGGCGGCGGAGGCGACGGCGGCTTTGGGGGACTTGGGGGAGGCCTCGGGGGTGAGGGCGGCTTGGGCGGGGAAGGTGGCTTAGGCGGAGACGGCGGCGGCGGGGGACTGGGCGGAGGGGAAGGCGGCGAGGGCGGCGGAGGCGGCGGAGGGGAGGGGGACGCTACAAACTTCTGCACGCATACGGCTGTAGCGAAGAAATCATTACCCGACTCGGCGGTACCGAGATTGATAAACCCAGCTGTATCGGTCTGAACCGCACCGTCTGCTGCAAGCTTCAAGGAATAAACTCCCTCCCAAATAGCCATTAGTGCGACAGGAGCATCTAAAGAGCTTCCGGGGTATAGCGCCAAGCGCGCGTAGGTTCCGGCGGTTAAGAATTGAAACGCGCCGGCAGACGCGGTAGTAGCGCACCCGCCGGTTTCGGTATAAGGCACGGTGTCAAGCGTGCCGAGGTAGCTCTGCCCGTTGCCGCCCGTCTTGTACGAAGACGTGCTTGTAACGAGGACGTTCTTATAAGTGGAGTCGATCACTAACGTCGAGGAGGTGCCCGCGGTAAGAGTGGTCGAGGAGAGCGGCGACGCGGAAAGAGCGGTTCCAGCCAACGGAAGCGCGTAGGTGTAGAGAATATTTGAATCGAATCTGAGAAGGGCTATGAAGCCGCCTCCCGGAGAACACGCCGCTTGCCGAATCGCAAATGAAGATGAGACGTATTTAATCGACGAGGCGTCGGTTTGGAATGCACCCGTGGCAGGGTCGATGGGAACGGTAACAACCACGTCAGAATCATCCGCGGTGACGTGGCAAGTCAGGACGAGGAAATCGATCGGCAAAGCCGCTGGCGAATAGCAGAATGTCGCCGACGTGCACTGGTAACCCGATCCCACCAGTTTCGTAACCGTCTTCTGAGTCCTATCCACCGAGACAGCCCCTCCTGCCGACTCCCCCCCATCTGCCACCACGAGAAGGTTCTCGGAAGGTCCTCCGAGCACCGTTGTCGTGCTCGTGAATCCGGCGGGAAGATTCACGGGCGGCTGCGATACTGCCCCGTCTGTCGTGTAGCGCACAACGTTGAGACGCGAGGTGGTGGAAGTGACATAAGCAGTGCCGTCCGTGGCGACGCTACAGTCCACTCGCCACGCGTCCGGGTCGCTATCCGCCGCACCGACCGTTCCGATCTCGCGTCGCGTGCGAAGGTTCACCTGCCATGCGACGTTCTTGATGTCGCCCGTCAGGGTGTTGTGCACCCCGCCGGCGATAATCCCGACGGGGACGCCCAGCGTGGAATACGGCGTGGATTGCGCTGCTGCTGGGGCGGTAAGGAAGGCGACTGGGAGGAGAAGGGAGGTGAGGATGAGGGGGAGGAGGAGAAGGCGGGGAAAGTGCGATCCCATTCGAGCGTCCGCGTAACGTCTGTCACGGTAGTTGTGATGTTGAGGCGCCATCGGCAACCTCAGCTCCATTTTGTAACAGGCTTCAGGCACGCATATTCACGCCATTTCCTGTCAACCAGAGGGGTAAGCTGCTGCGAGACACGCCAGGATAATGTGCCGTCGGGTGGATGGAGGGATTCAAATTATGCCCAAGGGTCACGATTCACGAAACACAGTGGTGGGAAAAGGATGGTTGGAGTTGGGTCCACCATGTGTCGCGCGACGAGAAAAATCACCAACTAGTAGTAAACTCAGGGCCTGTTCCGAGTTGGTTCTACCTCTGCAGGTCAGCTACGTGGTTGTCGGGTTTTGTATCCGAATGCAGCAAATCCTTCTCAATCGCACTGCAGATTCTGCTCTGTAGGTCAAGTTGCGCAGGTTATTTGCCCTTACGACACGATACGCGGAGAAGGGTCTGATTGGAGTACCTGCTTATTCTGGTGAGGGAAAAGGTCGATGCGCTGTTTGTGTACACAACAGAGCAGTCACTGCTTCAGGTGGAGTTCGGTTGGTAAACAGCAGCTGCATTTCTCCTGAGCCAAGGATTTCGGTTCGGGCTAGGTTCGGGTTAATGGTGTGTCTGGTTTGGGGGAGGTAAGGAGATGAACGTGCGTTTGTTCGTTCCTCGGCAGGGATTTTTCACATCTGATCAGACAGGCTGCTATTTTCTTGTTCGAGTTACCCCAGACCAGCAAAAGCTATTAAGTGCGAGGCCGAGCTCGCCTCATGCTGGAATCGTTTTCTGTGCTCATGAAACTGATGCAGAGAGCCTGTAACATCTGTACTTAGGTCCGGTTCTGGGCGAGTTTGCCCGCCATCAGCTCAAAATGGCCCTCAATGACGTGTAAAAACACTCTATCATTGGTCATCACACAAGTTTCCAGATATATTGGAGCATGGAAGCCAATCAGACGTGTAATTCCGTCACACTTGTCCCTACTTTGGATGGCGGGAGAACTTCAGAAACGCGATCTTATTTCTATCGGTGCAGGAATGTACTAGACGGAAGGAAACCCGTACAGTAAACCCTAGTCTTGTACCTGATCCGGGCTGGAACTGGGGAGACGAGTGAAAAGGCTGGGCGGGCGGGCAGAGCTGGCAGGAAAGTGGGACATCGAGTGGTCTCCTCCCGAATCGAAGCGCGAAGTCTACACAATTGATGCCCACCCCATGCGCGCGAATTTGCCTTGTACCGTATAGAAATGCTGCGCCCGAGGTTTTTTCCCTGGCCTGTTGCACCCACGGTACAAGCGCGTCGCGGGGTTATGAACCAATAGTAATGAACTGACCAAAGTCAAACAGAAGAGACTGAAGTCAAATTGCCATCGAATAAGGTTACAGATCCTTCATATAAGCACCTGCGAATCCTTTTAAGCTAACTGCGAATTGACGAAACTTTGGCGAAATGCACGATACAGCTTATACACCCCCTTCACAAGGCAAACGGGAGGGGCTCAATCAGGCATCATGTGTAAAACTATGCGAAAATTGTGGGTTGTCATTTTCCTTGTGATGAGAAAGGACCTCACCCCAGCAGGGGACCCTGACTGGAAAGCTGGATCTCCAATCTCTTGCGTCCCTCCAATCAGAGATAAGAAAAGCCACCTGACGGCAAGCGTAGAAATGCACCTGGCGTATGAATGCTGCTGCATCTCCGATTCCTGTCATCTTCTCGGGTGCTGTGTCAGATGACGAGGAAAGGTGGCGGCGATGTGGATGAAAAGCAGAGCCCATGCCGCCACTGTGAAAGCGGCTTCAGTACTGTGTTTAGTGGATGGTGGGTAGACAACGGTTATCATAAACTCCCAGTACGATGAATATGGGATGATATCACATCCCAGTTCAAAAAAATAATGGGCGGTAGAAATGCAGCAATCGTAAGATTTATATTCCATATAAGCTAAGCTGGTTCTTTATTTGATCGAATTTCACATACGGTGAATTGCACAGCTGTTGTAGTGGAATTGAGAGTAGTGGCGCATGCCATCTAAAAATACATATCATGAACTGTTGTGTCAATTATGCGAGAGAGTGGGCCTAGGTAAAGAGCAGCATAAAGTGTGTCAACCTGCAGAAACAGCTGGAACAATCGGGGGCTTCTCTCGCGGAACAACAGCAAATGGACTTTTGTGGCGGGTTGAAAAGTACCCTAGAACAAACCTGAAAGTCATCCATATGAGCTGCGATGACGGGTGAAGTCTGGTTGGGAGAGAATGTTTAAATCCAGCCTTGATATTACCCTGAGTACCTGAGTGTTTTCTGAACGAAAGTTTACACCCTTCCCAGCATTACTCGTTTCCAGTCGCCCATGTCTAAAGTCGTGTCCAGTTCGTTCATTTCGGGTTTTTTAGTGCCGACACACGTCTCGAGGTTAAAATTAATCGCTGTACCTAAAAACGAATGCATTGTGAGTTACGTCCAACCTACCTGTAATTTCAGGAGTATGGACACGTTCCCCGCCACTCGAATCAACAGTGCTCTTCGAAACGAGGTAACACTTTGCCTCATCAATCATAGCTAACGAATTTTCGGGCAGGCGCAGGGGGTGTTGGCGAGTATAGCGAGTCACTGGCGAAATCGTGCAAGCGATACAAGGGCAGTTACTGTAGTGGCCAGGACGCGGTGCTGTACCCTTGTTCGCGTCCCCGCTGATTCTAGTAACGTGAGTCAGGCGACTCGAGGTACGTCCAGGGGGCGTGGCGTCTTGTGAACGAAAGCTGAACGTGTCCACAAGACACGTTCAATACAGTGTTACACCATAAAATGTGGTAACTGAGTGGCTTCACGAGCAGTAAATGTACGAGCTGGACACCACCTAAGCCTCCTACCATTCCACTCGACAAGAGCCGAGTCTCGGGGATAGTTCTGATGGAACTGGACATCCCTAGTTGGAATCTTTGCTGCCATCACAGACAGTCTGGGTGAACATTTCGAAGAACCTGGGAGGCACCTGGCCACAAGCCTTTTTCCCACAACATTTTTTTGCCACCTGCTACAGCCAGACTCAGGAACTCGTGAAAGTCGCCAATTTCGAACATAGGGGTCCATCTGTGGTCCACCCAAGTGTAAACTACCTGATCTCCCAATGTTCAGGAACTCGTATTCAGAGTCACCCTTCATGGCGTTTCCCCTCCCTCCCCGCACAAACCGTCCGTCAGAGAAAACATGAAGTTACCTCTATGACTGTTGCTCTGTAGTCTGCGCTGCGACACGAACGACCTCCATAGGTTGTTCTATTTGCGTCAGTTCATTCTCCTGAAGCGTGCTCACACCGCAGCGGTATCTTTTTCATCGTCGCACCTGAATGCATGTGTGTCTATAATCGCGTAAGCGTGTCGCGTGGCACGGTCAACGAAGCTTGTAGTCGCGTTTTAGTGTCAGCTGGGCTTCGAACCACATCTCGTTATTAGATGTTTCGGTATCAGCCTGCATAGGTTAAGCGTTCCCTCATTGCACCAGCACCTCGAGCTAGCACCTTCAATCACCGCGGCAGAGACCGATAAGCACCGAATAGCACCGAATAGCACCGAGTAGCACCGTGCAGCTATGGACCCCAGCAAGCGGTACCAGGTGCGGCCCAGCAGCGCCAAGTACGACGCGCGGCCCGGCATCAAGTGGTCCGACAGCCTCTGGGGTTTCCGCGTCATCGTCGCCGTCATTATCGGGCTCGCTGTAGCAGGATTCGCTTTCGTGTAGGTCTTTGTTAAAAAAAATGAGGACTCCATTTGTGTAGGCCTCTGTATCGGATGATTATTTGCGTTTCTTTGCTCGCAAGTGCGTACTTCTCGTCCTCGTTACAGCGAGGTTCGTAACCGATTTGAGTGTGTGCGTATCTATTAACATCTCTAGTTCAAAGCACCCTCCCGGTCCCCCCTCCACCTCCTCGCCCTCTCGTTCCATCCCTTCATCATTCCGCATCCCGTCACTTTACTCGTCCGCACAACCCGCCTCCTCTCTCCCCGCTCTCCACCCCCCGCCCGGGCCGTGCCTCATTCCGAGCCAGCCTGCCCGGTTTGGACAGCCCGACCCTGCAGGCGGTGCTGTACGCGGTAGTGAGTGCTGCGGTGTTCCTGGCGTTGCTCTTCCTCTTCCTCGTGCAACACATCGACCCCGGGATCATCCCGCCCTCCGAGATTAAAGGTAAGCCACACCCCTCCCACTTCTCTTCATACCCTTCCCCCCAACCCCCTCTCTTCCTCTTCCTCGTGCAACATGTCGACCCTGTGCTCGATTCCTCGACTTCCCCCCTGAGGTGGTGGTGACAGCTCGCACGGCCTGTGGGCGTGCCTCTACCTGCTGCCGACTTTTGAGGCGCCTCAAAAGACTTCCCCCCCGAGGTGGTGGTGACAGCTCGCACGGCCTGTGGGCGCGCCTCTACCTGCTGCCGACTTTTGAGGCGCCTCAAAAGACTTTCCCCCCGAGGTGGTGGTGACAGCTCGCACGGTCTGTGGGCGCGCCTTCACCTGCTGCTGCTGCTGCTGCTGTTGCTCATCCCCCCCTACTCTCCGTCCCCCTGCCTTGGATTAGCACCAGACCCTGAGGTGGTAGCAGCAGAGAGGGGGCAGATCTCCCAGACCTCGTGATTGACTCGCACGGCCAGTGGGCGCGCCATTATCTGCTGCTGCTTATCTCCTCCCTGCTCTTTCTGCTCTGCTCCCTCTCCCCTTTCCCTTTCCTCCCTGCCCGCCTTCTCCCCCCAGACCCTGAGGTGGTAGCAGCAGAGAGGGGGCAGATCTCCCCAGATCTCGTGAAAGATTCGCACGGCCAGTGGGCGCTCCGCCGCCTGCTGCTTATCCCCTCCCTTCTCTCTGCCTTTCTGCTCTATTCCCTCCAGACCCCGAGGTGGTGGCAGCAGAGAGGGGGCAGATTTCGCCAGACCTAGTCATCGACTCGCATGACCAGTGGGCGCGCCGCCGCCTGCTGCTGGACGGCCGCTGCCTCTCTTCCTTACCCCCATTCCCCCTTCCTTCCTGCTCCCCAACCTCCAGACCCGGAAGTAGTAGCAGCAGAGAGGGGGCAAATCTCCCCTGATCTGGTCATCGATTCTCACGGCCAGTGGGCGCGCCGCCGCCTGCTGCTGGACGGGCGGTCGGAGATCACCCAGCGCTACTGCAGCACGTGCAATGTTTGGCGCCAGCCGCGCACTAGTCACTGTTCCCGATGTGGCTTTTGTATGGAGGTGGGTGCTGTTGTCTGGCTGTAGCATTGGCTGATCTCTCCTGCTGCTGGACGGGCGGTCGGAGATCACCCAGCACTACTGCAGACCGTGCAATGTTTGGCGCCAGCCGCGCACCAGCCACTGCTCGCGATGCGGCTTCTGTATGGAGGTATGTGTTGTTGCGGTACTGTTGCATTCATATAGCTCGGCTGTAGCGCCTTCCCGCTGAAGAACCACCGCTTCATCACTCGCCTAATCCCTCTCCTCCCACTTTTCCCCACCTTTCCCCCATCCCCCGAACCCAACACCCCCCGCCCCCCCTCTCCCATGGTTGGCAGCGGTTCGACCACCACTGCGGCGCAGTGGGCACGTGTGTGGCGCGCAAGAACCACCGCTTCTTCACTGCTTTCCTCTTCTCCGCCTCACTGGTAAGGGAGGGATGGTGGTATGGTGAGACACCTAGGTCACACACGCACGCCTGCTGCTGCACACATACAATCCACGCACCTCAACTGCAAGAACCACCGCTTCTTCACTGGCTTTCTCTTCTCCGCGTCGCTGGTAAGGGAGGGTTTGTGGTATGGTATGGCACCTCTCTGCCGCCTTGGTAAGTGCTGCTGCACTTGCACTTTCCTCACGTATGTGACGCGCAAGAACCACCGCTTCTTCACTGGCTTTCTCTTCTCCGCGTCGCTGGTAGGCCGGGGGTTATGGTAGTATGGGCACCTTTCTGATATCGATACTCACGCTAGGACTCACACTCACGTATGCTGCTGGCAAACTCGCCCCATCCCACCATGTGTGTGGCTCGCAAGAAACACCGCTCCTTCACCGGGTTTCTGTTCTCCGCCTCGCTGATAGGGCAGGGATTGGGGTATGCTGGTAGTGCAGGGATTGGTATATGCTGGTAGGGTAGGGATCGTGGTATGCTGGTAGGGTAGGGATCGTGGTATGCTGGTAGGTTAGGGATCGTGGTATGCTGGTAGGGCAGGGATTGGGGTATGCTGGTAGGGTAGGGATCGTGGTATGCTGGTAGGGTAGGGATCGTGGTATGCTGGTAGGGTAGGGATCGTGGTATGCTGGTAGGGTAGGGATCGGGGTATGCTGGTAGGGTAATGCACTTAATTGATTACAAGCCTTGTTTGCTCCAACTTCCAACCCACCACGTGTGCTGCCGCTCCCGCCTCCCCGCTCCTCGTAACACCCTAAAGTCCTCAGGCCTGCTGCTCGATGTGTTCAGCTTTCAGAGCCAAAAAATGCTTAACTCTTCCTTCCACCTCTCCGTCCCCTCTCCTCCCTCCCCTCCTCTCCCTCCCCTCCTCTTCCTCCTCTCTCTCGTGTCCTCTTGTGCTTCTCTCAACAACAGCGTCTCTCTGCTGCTGTATGCTCCATTGCTCGCTCGTGGCCATTTTTCTTGGGCTTCGTTCTCCTCTCTCGATTCTCGTCCCTCTGTGCCTCCCTCCTCTTCTTCTCCCCTCGTGTTTTTCCTAGTCCAGGCGTCCGGTCTGCTGCTCTATGCGATTGTTCTATGTATTTCTCCTTGCCATTCCTCTCAATCCTCTCAATCCTCTCAATCCTCTCAATCCTCTCAATCCTCTCAATCCTCTCAATCCTCTCAATCCTCTCATTCCTCTCAATCCTCTCAATCCTCTCAATCCTCTCAATCCTCTCAATCCTCTCAATCCTCTCAATCCTCTTCATCCCCTCCATCCTCTCCTCTCCCTCCTCTCGTCCCTCCGTTTTTCCCCCCAACAACAGGCGTCGGGTCTTCTGCTGTATGCGACTGTCCTGCGACTCAAGGAGGAGGACTGGGATAAGTGAGTGTGATGGTGATACTTGTGTAGCTTTATAAGGGTGTTTGATCGGATCAGTGCGACAGCTGACAAGTTTCAAAACTCTATGCGACTCAAGGAGGAGGACTGGGATAAGTGAGTGAGGCGTTTGTGATACTGTGATGATATGGGAGTGTGTGAAAGTATATGGGAGTGTGATTCCGTATTTGAGTGTGAAAATATCGCCGTTTTATGCTATACGTGAGTGTGAAACTATTAGGCATTCTGCATTCGACCCAGGTTTGAGGTTGGGTGCTTCCACCTTTTCCCACCTTTCCCAACCTTTCCCCACCGTTTTCCATCTTTCTCCATCTTTCCCCACTTTTGCCCACCTCCACCACACCACACGTTATTTCTCAGGGGTCTAAGCGACCAGGAGGTGTACGTGTTCTTCCCCATGCTGCTCGCCCTCGTTCCTCCTCTTCTACTGCTTGTGTTCCCCACCTCCCCCACATCCCACCTCCCCCACATCCCACCTCCCCCTCCCCAGGGGTCTAAGCGAGCAGGAGGTGTACGTGTTCTTCCTCATGCTGCTCGCCCTCGCCTACTTCTCCCCTCCCCCACTCCCCTGCCCCCGTATCCCCTCCTTTTCCTGTGTTCGTGTTCCCCATCCCCCCACCTCTCCCTAGGGGTCTGAGCGAGCAGGAGGTGTATGTCTTCTTACTCATGCTGGTCGCCCTCATCCCACCTCCCCACTCCCCCTGTCGCCATGCCCCCTCCTCTTCCTGTGTTTGTGTTCCCCACCGCCCCACTTCTCCCACTTATCCCAGGGGTCTGAGCGAGCAGGAGGTCTATGTCTTCTTCCTCATGCTGCTCGCCCTTGCCTACTTCTACACCTCGCTGCTCTTCTTCTTTGCTGTCATGCACGGCACCATCCTTCTCTGCGGTACGTGTGCTCTCCTCCCCCTTCCCTTACTCTCCATTCCACATCCCTCGCCTACTTCTACACCTCACTGCTCTTCTTCTTTGCCGTCATGCACGGCGCGATTCTTCTATGCGGTATGTGTGCTTCCCTCCTCGCCCTGCTCCCCTCCTCGCCCTGCTCCCCTCCTCCTCTCCTGCTCCCCTCCTCGCCCTGCTCCCCTCCTCCTCTCCTGCTCTATCCCCCTCGCCTACTTCTACACATCACTCCTCTTCTTCTTTCTCGTCATGACGGCACCATTCTGCTCTGTGGTATGTGTGCTCTCCTTTCCTCCTCTTTCTCCTGCTCGCATATCTTGAGACATGTTCCAGCAAGCAGCAGCCTAGGAGAAAGCTTAGCAAAGGAAATACAGTTGTTATAGAAAAAACTAGCTAATTCGCGTAGGATTTTGTACGTGTGCTGTGCTCTCCTCCTCTTCCTGCTCTGCCATAAGCACCTTCTATCCCCTTCTATCCCCTTCTATTCCTCCTCGCCTCGAGACTCCTATACAGGCAAGGGCTCCTCTTCCTTTCCTTTCCTCCTCAACTCTGCACCTACCTCCCTCACTCCCCGCCCTGTTTCCACCCCCCCTCCACCTTCCAGACTGCACCACCAAGCAGTACGTTCGATCCAGGCAGGGCTCCTATACCTCCCTTCCCTCCCTAGCTACTCGCCTATCCCCCTCTCTTCTCCCTCCTTCCTCCCCCATCCACCCACCATCCATCCCCTGCCTCCCAGACTGCACCACCAAGCAGTACATCCGATCCAGGCAGGGCCGAGGTTCGGAGTGGCAGCGCCCGAGCCTGCATGTGTGGCTCGACAACATGAACAGTATCTGCTGCGCGGAAGTGCGCAGTAAGCACGTTGCTACAGTGAATGCCGTTGTAGAGGGTACGGCTCGTGCCCAGGGGCTTGCACCCATGTGAGCAGTAAATGTAACGTCTACAGACATTGGACAGTAAGTGCGCAGCAAACATGTCTGCTACGGTACAGTGAATGCGGGTTGTAGAGGGTACGGCTCGTGATCAGGGCCTTACACCCATGTGAGCTTGCACCTGTGTGAGTTTGCATCCGTTGTGGTTGGTGCATGGCATCTAGTGCATCTCTACAGTTTCTTCTGTGCCAATTTGTGCAGTAAACACATCGCTGCACTGCAGTTTATGCCACTGTAGAGGGTCTGGTTCGTCGTGCCTAGCCAGCCTTGCACCCATGTGAACAGTACATGTTATCTAGAGTCATGTTTATGAATCTCTACTTCATGAATGTTAATGTTATATTATCCTTACCGTAACATGAACAACCATTACTCGTGTCTTCACTTCAGTACTGTAATATCATGCACAATACTTTTGCAAGTGTGTGATGTGAATCTAAAAACTATTGTTCATGAACATGTATGGTAAGTTTGGCCACACTTAGGGCCAGAAATCTTCGTACACGATAAGGGTCCTGCTTGTAACGCCCCTGAGAAGATTACAAAAGTCATACCCTCTCCAGAATAACGCGGCGATCTACGGTACCACCGCAGCGGCACTGGGTGGCTTTTGACGATTTTTTTTCCTTATCAGCCAACCGTTTCGTCCTTGCATTAGGGTGCATTCCTGTGGGGATACAAATGTCTCAATCGCTACAAAAACAGCATAAACTGTAGAGTGTCCCAATTGCGAGTCGCTTTTCCGCTGTTGGGCTCAAAAAGCCCTTAGGATCTTTGCAGAGGTGAATTCTGGGTAGAGTTGATGTAGTAGCGGAAGCGTCTTAATAGTTTGTGAACCACCTTGCGCTAGTATGTGAGGGCAAAGTGAATTGATTAAGCAAAGAGATACAAGATTATATATGAATACAGAGAATATGAAGAGACACAGTTATAACTACTTTACTGTTGCTGTTGCGATTCGATACAGTGACGACTCGGGCAACTGCTCTGTAAAGAGTCAGTTGTGTGTCCTTGCTGTCGCGCTGCATTTGTCAGGTCAAAGGTCGCTGACCTTTGACTTTCGCGTAACCTCCAGCGGTTACTTCAACCTCCGAGGGTTGACTTGCTGGTGCCTCGATATGCTCTGCTTCGCTTGTGCCTTAGTGTTTCGACACGACAGAGGCGCTTAGGAACTATTGTTTCCAACACTCCCCTTCGCTTTTGGAGTGTCGCTGACGTGGCTCTGTCCAGTCAGCAGCATGCAATATTCGAACTTCTGCTTTCCGAGCTTCTTGGTCAGGTAATCAGCTGCCATCTCGGACGTGGGGCAGTATGACAGTTCAAGCCTTCCTTTCTCGATCTCGTCCTTCACGAAGAAGTATCGTAGGGCGATGTGTTTCGTCCTGTTCGCGAAGCCGTTCTTGTTGGCGATGCAAATTGCCGACTGGTTGTCGCAGAACAGGGTGAAGTTGTGTAACTCGGCTAACTTCGCTTCTTCCAGTAGCTCGCGAAGATAGAGTCCTTCCTTGGTGGCTGAGCAGAGTGCAATATATTCTGCTTCAGCTGACGAGAGAGCAATTAGTTCTTGCTTGCTCGATTGCCAGGAGATAGGCCCAATAGGCTCGAGACGGTAGATGTAGCCGGTGCGTGATCGCCTGTTGTCGGAGTCGCATGCGTGGTCTGCGTCGACGTAGCCGATTAGCTTAGGCGTTGTAGTTGCGTTCTTATGATAAGTCAGTCCGACCGTCGAGGTACTGACAAGGTAGTGAAGAGCGCGGTCGAGCTCCGCAAGATGTTCCGCTTCAGGCCTCTTGAGGTAGGTGGCGAGCTGGCTTGCAGAGTAGGATAGATCTGGGCGGCAGGTGACAGTTGCGAAGAGAAGGCAGCCCAGGTTTCTCTGGTAGTCGCGGATGCCGGCGGGCTTGAGTAGAGCGGAGCCTTCCTTGTTGTTTACTGTCGTGTAGCGGTACGGTGTGGAGATAGCTGTTGGTGTGAGTGCGAAACGCTTGGCGATGGTGTCGGCGTATTTCGTGGCACTGAGGTAGATTGCGTCTTCTTCTTCTCGGATGTTGAGGCCGAGGTACTGTGTGACGGTAGGTGAGACTGTGAGTGTGAGGTCTTGTTGTAACTCCCCTTCGAACCAGGTTGCAATACCTTCGGTTGAGCCAATGTAGTGTAGGTCGTCTACGTAGACGATTAGCAGGACGTAGTCGGTACCCTTCGAGAGCCGGTACATGCCCTGGTTGTGCGGTAGTTGCTTGAAGCCGATGCGAATGAGGCGAGCGTGTAGGTATTGTTGCCATAGTCGCGGGGCTTGCTTGATGCAGTAGAGTGACTTGAGTAGTTGACAGACGTGTTTCGAGTCTGTGCTGGAGCCGTGTGGTAGCTCGACGAAGATCTCGGCGTCGACGGGTGCGTAGAGGAATGCATTGGCGACGTCGATTTGCCTTAGCTTCTTCTTCTTCATGGCGGCGATCGCGAGAAGGATGCGTAGCGAGGTGTGTCGGCTGACTGGAGCGAATGTTTCGGTGAAGTCGCGGTCGTGCTCTTGGTCGAAGCCACGAACGACCCAGCGTGCTTTGAATTTGTCGATGGTGCCATCGGCCTTTGTCTTCACACGGAAGACCCATTTTCCGGTGAGTACTGTCTTGTTCCGTGCCACACCGATAGGAACCACCTTCCACGTGTTGCGTTCCTCCAGTGCCTTCAGCTCCTTGTCCATGGCTTCACGGCATATTTCTTTATGTTCCCCCCCCAGAGCCTGTTGAACCGTTGCAGGCTCTTTAGGAGCGACGGAGCCGTGGACTGCGGTGACGAGCCCGAGGATCTGCAGTCCACTCTGTGAGTAGCGGGGAAGATTTACATCCTCGGGATAAGCTGCTTCGTCTCCCGTTTCTGGATCAGGTATGAAATTTGGTCCTACTCGTTCTGCTTCGTTGGTGTTGACTGTCGCAGGTGTTACGTAACCGTTGTCGGCGAAGTGGTAGAAGGTTTCGGCGTTGGCACTTTCGCGAGGGTTGTCTTCGTCCATGGGAACGTCGACGGAGCAGAACGGAAGAGGTCCGGCTTCTTCTGATGTGTTGTCCACATTCTGCTCGTCCCAGTTTGCTTCGTCCGCTGCTGAGGCGAAGGCTCGGTCACCACGAAGGCCACCTGTGGGGTCTTCGTCTTCTTGCAAGTTGGCAAGGTAGGTCTGGAGCGTGAGTCGTTCATAGAAAATTACGTCACGTGCTGCTACTGTTTCCTTTGAGTGGACGTCAAAGATTTTCCACGCGTTGTAGTTCTTTTCGATGCCCAGGTGTAGTCCCCACTGTGCTCGTTGAGAAAATCGGCCCGCTCGTGCTGCTGGGGGTCGGTACTGTACCATGCACCCGAAAACTCGTAACATTTTTGTGCTGCCCTGTTTCCCTGTCCATAGCAGATGCGGTGATGCGTTGTTCGGAAGCGATGACGACGACAGCAAATTGTGCAACATGACAACGTGGTCCATTGCTGCAGGCCATTGGTGGTTGGGTAGCCGCATGCCACGTAGCAGTTTGCGCATGGTGTTCTGCAGGGTCCTGTTCATTCTCTCTGCTACTCCTTGCTGCTGATGGGCGTAGGGAAGGGAGATGAGCTGCTTGATTCCCCTTTCCGCCAGGTACTGCTTGAACCGCTGAGAGGTGCATTCTCCTCCTCCGTCTGATTGGAAGCTTTTCAGTTGTACGCCCGACTCTCTCTCTGCTACTGGTAGCCAGGCAACGAAGGCTGCGAATGCCATGTCGCGGCTGGGTAGGTTTAGGTGCCAGACGTAACGGGTGGCGGCGTCGATGAAGGTGATCGTGTAGTTGTATGTGACTTGTCCTGGTTCCCGATTGAATAGGATATCGCTATACACCTTCTCGAGTGGTGCGTACGCGGGAGCGCTTGGGTTGTGATGTGACGTGAATGGTCGATGCGGTAAGTCGCCTTCAGGGCAGGTGAAGCACGTTCCTCGCGCTCATTGAAGTTCTCGTTCGTCGGTTAGTAGGAGTGATTCCTTGTTAAGTACTCCTGCTCTTATTGTATTGTTTAATACTTTGTTGCTTGGGTG